AAGTCACTCACCAGGTTGATCGGCGAGCTTATATCCACCACCATTACATATTCTTTGTTAGTCACATTGGAAACGATAGTTAAGCTTTATGTTTAACACAGATTTACCATCACAGTCTGATAATACTGTTTTCAAAATATACACAGCTATTAAATTGAATTAATCGCTAAAGGTCATTCAAGGATGAATTCTTTGTCACACTGTTTACTTCAATGTTATTTATCTGTAAGCGAGACTTCTTGTATGATTTCATTCTCTCCCATTGATAAATATACTCCTTGAGCGACCAATTTATTCCGCATATAGAATATACCTAGTCATATTTGAAAAAGTAAAGTAAAAACAATAGTCACGAAAACAAAACTGAAAAAAAAAAAAAAGACGGACTATGATGGTACAAGGTTATCGATGACAACATCTGGACTGAGTTGGAAATGTTACACGTGCCCATTCCTTTGATTTGTATACTCCGTTCAGAAATCGGAAAAATATATCCCAAAGCGCGTTTCGCAAATGCAATAAAGCTGCTTGCTTCTACGCGCAAATTTCTAAAGAATATTCTATATTGTAATAAATGAGGGTATTCATAGTAAAACTTGTCTTGGAAGAAAACAACATATTTTTATCACGCTTGTGATATGATTTGTTCGCTATGAATAGCCTCAAATATGCTATAAATGTTACTTTGGGTTCTAAAAAATTTCAGCAGAAAGCAATCACACGAAAAACAAACGTTATACACCATATAAAGGAGGCCCGAGCATTGAGAACCTTTCCTGTATATAGAAAATATGCAAAATTCTTTTTCATTGAATTACTCATTCCTAACATACACGAGTATTAAAATAAAATATAAAAGCGTATTATTAATTTTACAAAATTATTGTACCATATAAATTACAAAAAATTTGTCTAAATTTTATAAACTTAACAGGATTCAGTATTATCACCTTGAGAAAACTTTGCTGAAAACTGATGAATGATGGGAATCTGCGCTATTAGGAAGGCTCGAAATTTTATCAGATCCAGATTTATTTTCATCTTCCTTTTCACCAGTTAATCCTTCCATCCATGACAAAGGATACGATAATCGTTTTAACATCTGAAAAAAGAGTGACCGTCAAAATAAGACACAGATAAGTAACGAATTTTAATACTACCTTATTCCTACGAGTCTCTTGTTTATCGTCATCTTTATGTTCCTCATCTTTCTCAGGTTCCTCTGCATTATTACTTTCTAAGCTAAAAGATACCGAACTCGCCTTCTTTCTACCGTTAACGGCAGGACCGCTATCTAGCGAATCAGTTGTAATGTTCATCGGAGCAATAGTAATAGGAGGGACCCAATCTGAAGATAAGACAATATCTGCGTCTGAATATACTTTCTTTGTGGGGTTAGGCTGAACTACTGGGAAAAGGGGATTAGGGTCACGTATGTCAATACCAGAGTCGTGGCATGACAGTTTGACTAGAGATCCTTCTTCACCTCCGGGAATCGCCTTCGATTTCGCAGAGTCCACCTGTAAACATCAGTGTCCATTAAATTTTGTCTTTCAATTAAAAACTTAGTAGTGAAGTTCAATGATAACGAACAACTAACTTACTTTGTCAGAATTTAATGAATCTTGTTGATCATCTTCGACTGGCCATGGATATTGATCTTTGCTAGGAACTGGCCAGTGATGATCAAGCATAGAACGTCTACGTTCCTCTAACGTTCTACTAGCTTGACCACCACTGCTCACATCTTTCACTTCCTTCTCCTTCTCTTTCTCCTTCTCGTTTTCTTTTTCCTTCTCTTTTTCTTTCTCCTTATCTTTTTCTTTTTCTTTTTCTTTCTCTTTGGTTGTCGTTGTATCTTCCTCCTGCAAATGAAATAAATAATTTCAATTTATGATCAGATAATTATGGCAATATAAAATTGTTTCTTAATGTATAAAACATACGTTTTGGAGATTGGTAGGAGTAACGAAATCTCGATCAAAGGCCTTTGGAAAAGCATCTCCATCTCTTTCAGTACAACTGCATACATTCTCACTATCATCTGCTGTTAATTCAGGGAAGTTTTCTTCCTTTTCTGGTGACTGACATTTAACACTTTCATTTTGTATAGGTTTTTTCATATAATAAATTTCTGGTTTCTTATCTAAATTTCCAGATTCCGTATGTCCTACACGCATATGCGCAATATCATAGTAAATTGCTGCATTCACTACAAATTCCATTGGTGCAATTACACCATAAGACTCAGCTCCATGTTCAATGACAAGAGAATCGGATACATTAGGATCAAACATGACTGCATTTGGTGTAACTAGTAGCACTCCACTGACAACACCCTGTGAATAAAAGATAAAATTAATTTTAGTAACAGAAAAAGCCATAGAAAAATTTCAAGAAGATTTATATAAACGTAAGTTGAAGAGCCTTACCTGACCATCTGTGATATGACGAACATTAATTTTCAGAAATCTTTCTTTAAATGGCTGTTCCTCTTCTTCTATAACTGCATTTGTAACACCAAGAGGTGTTTTTACTCTTTCCATATGGCTTGGTTTTGGTGACACTGGCCTCAAGTTATCCAAAAGTTCTATAAAAATGAGTCAAAGATTAGGTTTTGAATTATCTATTTAATATAAAATATCTTTCTTGGATAGATGAAGCTTGGACATATCATACAAAATAATTATGTGTCTGATACTATTTTAATACTACAGAAAGACACAACAACTGTTTCGTAACATTTATGTCAAATAAATATTCCAAATTTTGTCTCCATCTGATACAGTATTTAAATAAAAGTACTGGATTTAACAAGAGTGACAAATAGCGACATGACGACAACATCTGTATTCTGTTTGCAATAAAATTAACGTGCATCCTTTGCTTTAGAAACTTATAGGTTATGTTTGGTACATACAACAACGCCATGTTCTATCTATAGTTTACATCGTGACGCCGATCAGCTGACGTCGGACTATATATGATGGATAACAGAAAAATAAAATATAAAAACTAAGGTAACAAAGCATGATATTTCAAAAAATATTCATAATCATACACGTAAATATATTAGAACAGGATTATTTGTTCCAAATGATTCGAAATTATTCAAATAAATTATTTGCATAGAAACATATGGAAATGAACAAACACTATTTAATGAGTTATGTATTATTACGTGTATACTTCCAGGAATTCCAATAGAAACGGATAAATGTCAAAACACACAGAGTAGGTTAAATTGTGACTATCGATTAACTAGTTTAAATAATCGATCAAAACGTCTGTTAACTTAAGTATAAGTCACGAAGGAAAAAGAAGAATGCGCGGGAAACAGAGTGAGACAACGAGAAACACATGGACCCCCCTTGAAAATCGATCCGCCAATTTTCTTTCTACGTATACTCTACGTAAGGCTATACAATATCGATATACTATAATTTCTTTTTTACAAATACATACGTCGTTTATCTGATGTCATACTCAATCGTCCATTCGCCGACATTAATATACACATTGATGTGACTGCGTAATATGGCGCCATTAGCTGAGCAATTTCTACTTATCATTGCAGAAGATTTAAAAATTTCTTCTCAGCTATTTTCATTTCGTGAATATTTTTCCTTAGCATTTCTATATTTACAATTAATGTATTTTACCGTCGGCGTCACGTATACTATTTTTACTTCTATCTCTATTATTATTTTGCAATAGAAGCGGCTATCTACCAAGAAATTGCTTATAGTTTCCCTATGATTCATAACCAACATATCTAACAACTTCTAACAACGATTCACAACAAAGTATCCGTATCAAAACGCTATACTGTGCAGCGAATGTAATACGAAAGCAAAATTGGCGCGAACGCCTCTCTATGAATAATGCAATAGAGGACCGAATGGTACGTTCAGGTAAGTCGAATTGACTCACCTGGCCAAATATCAAGATGAATTGGGTCTCGATTGTATCTGACTGTGCGAAGTGTCGCACTGAATATTAATGCCGGTCTATTGCACGTATCGGATAGATAGGACTTGGCGTTTAGCTTGTTACATTAACATCTACGAACATACGGTTCATAGCAATGACGTATTGTAATATTTTTCTGGCGTTACCTGCGTAATAAAACATTAGCGAATTCCGCCAGTGGCGCAGTAAACTTTTATATCCATATGCTACTTATTTCTGTTACCTTCACCTAGTTACATATCGTATTGGTAGCATATGATACAGTCCAGAGAAAATATAATGTCAAGCGATGGAGTACGTTACAAGATAGAAATCAAGATAATATGATAATATTTCTGGAGTCGAGTAAAAATTTAAGAAATAGCCCGACACTTGAATTTCGAGTGGAATAAAATTTGTCTTATCTGAAAATCTATCTTACTTACGAAAGGCTTAAGTTTCCAATTGGTATGAAATATTTTACTCCGTAAATACGGATAGATATTTATAAATCGTAATAACCTTGTTATTAAAGTCTACAAAAATTCTACCGATCGCAAGATCGATTAAAGATGATTTACAGGTGAAAATTTCAATTGCAAACGAGATTCCAGTGCGAAGAGATCAACAATAGCCCATTCAAATCTCACGCAATATTGATCAAGTTGTCGTCAGCGTTATGGCATTGAATAGAAAGTTGATATACCCGCGCCAAGAACCATAAAGTCTAATCATTTTAACTTCCTATTCCTGTGTTCCAGTACTTTATTGCGTAATTAGATGAAATGCCGTAAACCGGAACAGAATGGGCAGATAGATAAAAATGAATTGCCTTTTTCCTCGGGAGGTAAGTCATCCTGAGACTCGTGATCATGACAAGGATCTGGACTAGGTGCGTCTGTTCCGCCTTTTGTTTCTCCTTCCACAGGTATCCACAGCTGTTGGCCAGGGTAAATGAAAGTACTTCCGAGCTTGTTAAATTTGCTCAGCTCGGATGGTGTTGTATCGAATCTCGCGGCCACCGACGTCAGCGTGTCCCTGTCGCCCACCTGCAGCAGAGAAAATGGAGACACGAATTACACGATTAGCCAACGTAATTGACAGACAAGTCTAATAAGGAAACACGCGTTGTCCCCCATTGTCCACGACAAGACTGACTACGGGCGGGGTCTTTGGACTACTTTGTTCGTTGCCTTGCATCACTAATGAGAGACAGAAATAGATTACGGGAGTGGCAATGTTTACACTAAGGCATATATCGCACCATACACGGTAAGCGAGACGAAAGTTCACTTTCTGAAACAATTTTATAAAATCCTAGAAGTATTCCTCTTCAATTACCCGTAGGTAACTTAATTTAGTTATATTTTGACTAATCTTCGCTAATTTTATCAAACCGATGTCCTTGATGCGATCCTTTTTGATTTTGCAAGCCCGCGAAATTCAAAAACGATCGTTCGAAGTATTCGGGGTGTTCTATAAAATATAAGAAATAAAACTTCTCTCTTTCCCATAGAAACGGTGCAACAACTATCGTCACGTGGAAAATTCAGATTTTATCTCGACCAACGGTTCCTTCTATTTCAACCAAGCAATTTTCAAGGCGCCGGTCAGTGTGCAGCGTACCTAACCCTAAATGCAAATCACTAGCCACGGTTGCGTGCGAATAATAGGTAACGTGACTCGTTGAATCGATACTGGACAGCCCGAAAGCCAATCAGGGATCATCGATCGCGAAAGGGGGTATGTATCGATGACGGGTGTGCATCTAGACGCGTGGTTGACGTGCCAGCAGGAGATACACGGGTTTAGTCCGGGCGAATATCGGTGAAACGCAATTTCATGGGCCGATGCCGATGCAACGTCATAAGCCGTATCTTGCGTCGCAATTTGCAAATATCTCGCCACGCTCGATCGAATCGTTCGCGTGAAAGAACGATTCGAGTCGGGTGAGCGTCTCCCGCCAATATTGTCACGTGACGCGGCGCAGATGGCGCTGCGCGGATGTCGCTTCGTGGGAGTAGAACGAAGTTTGTCACGTACGGAATATATTTCTTACGGGATAGGTGTAACGTTTTGTAACGTTCCGCTGCATTATGAAATTTTCCAACGCGTCGTTTACGCAACGTTTAACGTCGCAATGCGCTCTGAAACGGAATGGTATAATGTGCGTGGCAGTTCCTGAAACGCAATACCACAATGTTCTCGTAACGGTTCACTGCGAACGTCTGTGCAGTGGCACCAGTATCGTCTTGCAATGTTCCTGGCGACGTTACGGTGCAACGTTCTGTGAAACGTAACCTGTCCGGTCTTTCAACGACGTTTAAACGTTTCGTTTCATCCGGTTGTCCGTCCTACCAGCTGGAGGGCAAGGTGAACGTGCGGCAAATTGAATTTCGCGCTCCCGTTTCGATTCAATTCCATCAGGGGCTTTCGTATCTGCGACTTGGAAATAAAAGATAGCAGAGGTACGATCATTCTCTCTGGGTCAATTAAGGTGAAACAATTTTATTTTTTCGAAGTAACGTTAAACGAATTTTCTGCAGCGATACTTTTATGTAAATAAAAATAAAAATAAAAAATATCTGGAACAGTTTGTATCGTTCATTATTGCTAATTTTTCTGTTTTCTGTTTAGATATTTCAAGAGCAGTTTCATTGGAGTATTTCAAGGACTATTGAGGAATATAAAGGGAGAGGAACACGGTTCAAAAATATAACGTATACATGTATTAATTTTATGATACACAATGGAACACGGTACAGAATATTACAGGTAACTATTTTAGAATAAGAGTACCCATTAAAATAGTTAGCTGTAATTGAACCAGGTATAAGATTATACGTTCAGTGATCGATGTTGTACCGTTTCAGATTTTATGTCCAAGAGGGTGTGGTTGGAGGCGTGCCTCGCCAGCCTCCTGTGATTGGTGGAGTAGTAAAAAATGGTAAGGTTGAAAAAGTAGAAGCTGGTGTGGGTGGACTGGAAGTAAGGGACTTAAGGTTAACGATGGTGGGTGACGACTTGATGGATGACCTGGACAGTAAAGCTACAAAGTTAAGCCCGAAGATGTATAGGTTATGTTGTCCAGAGGATTACAGACTGCGTCTCAAACATTTGATGAAAAGAATTTATATCACACTTTGTCCCCTTCGCTTCGTATATTTCATCCCTCTCCATTTAAACGATATTAAAATATCGCGGATTTTAATTGTACAAATTATTATAAAAATGTAAATATTTCAGACGAGCTAGATGGCGCTGTTGGAGATTAAGGTTAAACAATTTTTAGATTTCTCGAGCAATGAAAAGTCGTCAATGAGTCCACGAAAACGCTTCCTTTCATTCGACTCATCAGACTGTGACTCGTTTCCATTATGTTCTCGTTTCCGCAACAGACATAAATACATTCGTGCGTTGGCCGCAGGGACCATTAGGCTATTTGCATAATCCGGCAGAGACGGTGTGCAAGGAGATATCGGGTGACAGAAAATTGAATTCCTTGAAAGAGAGACCTCTCCATTCGCCAGCATATTACGTCTCTGATGCAAATCCAGTTCCACTGACCTTTAACGTAGCGTGTATAACGATCGTTCGACATTTTGCAACAATGTACCATGCTTGGACAAACGTTTAATTAACGAGGTTTGCTCCGGACGTTGTCCACGACGATTATAAGTTCAGCACGGGTGCTATGCATCGTTATGTTATCACAGTGGTTCTCATGGAAGCCATGTTCCAACCACACGGCTACGCCTGTCGGTCGTCTGATCATGACACGACCAAATCTACTGTGCAGTGGAATTCAGACCAACACGCGTTCCAATCAAGAACAGACGAAACGTCTGACTACAACGCGACTCGATCTACTTCTGCGCCTGGTAATTACTTCCCGACGAGTTTGCGTGGAATTTCGAACGAAAATGTGGTCCTCCTAACGAAGTGAACGTAAATTAGTAAATGCTCTTATTAACATTCGGTTCCACGGATTCAAGTTGTATTAAAATTGATAATGGAGCGAAAGAATCGAATAATACTCTGATTATATTCAAAGTGAAGAAGATGTGCATCTTATTACCCACGGTGTTGAAATTTACTCGCAAAAGTTTATTCGCTATCAAAAATTTACTCGTTATCTAAAAACGGAGTAATAAATCGTAAGATCGAGAGGTTAAGAGAAATCTTGATGAACACTAGGATTTAAGTGGAAGAAGTTTGACTGAAAATAAAACAGCTTTGTCCTAGTAACTTTTCCACATTGATATCGACGAACGTTCCACATTTTCTGCATTCCATTAACGACGAAATCGGAAGAAACGGGGCAGTCGTAGTGGTTGATTTGCTAAGAAAGATTAGGCAAGGGAAAAAGCGGCACTGGTGGTGCAGCTTGAAGTAGGATCGACCGGGAAGACAAAAAAAGCGCGGATCGGGGTGATGAAGCTTTTAAGCCGAAGAAAAAGGAAGAACGAGCGCCAGCAAAAGAAGAGGGATGATGTTTTGTAAAACGACAGAGTAAGAAGGCGACTCGGCATTGTTTCAGTTTCTGCGTCTTTAGTTTCAGTGGTTCTCAATCGCAATATTCATCGAAAATCTTTAAGAAATTAGGATGGATATCAAAAAGGCACTCATGATTCGTTTCCCTTTAATGTTTCGTGTTTTTAATAATTTCTAATAATTTAGTAAACTTAATAATAAATATAATTTACTTCATTATGAATTAATTTCTTTCAGGACGATGGTGGAATATCTATATCACAGGAGACACTTCATCAAAACTTTGTTAAAAATTATGTCAGAAAATCTTCGTTCCAATTTTCCAATTAGAATACATTTATACACCAACTTTGAATTCACAAGCAAGATTGGAAAAGGCCACATCAGTTCAAATAAATGAAACAATTATATCATTCACGGACAGAACACTACGGATAGAAGCAAAATCTCGTTGAATATTCAACATAATAGCATTATCCTTTGCACAAAATTCCCCAATGAAAACAGAATATGTTATTAAGGGAACAAGCTAACGGCGTTTTAATTATAACTTTAATAGCAGGTATAAATATTCATAATCTTCTTCTTCCTCTACAGTTTCATTCGTCTTGAAGACCAGGCGAGAATTTACCACCCAAGAAACGTCTCATTTTCCAAAAAATTACAAGAACAAGGTCTCGTCCATTGTCAGCAAAGACGCTTCAAAAGGTCCACGGCCCTCTGAAATCCATCGAGAAATCTGACAGAAGAAGAAAACAAAACCACGCTGAATACACGATACAATATCGTGATTATACTGTTCCCATGAAACAGCAGGATGAAAACACAACGTTCCATTAAAGAACAATCCAACGACGCTTGAACGATAACTTTAATAGCAGACATAATTCCCAGTGAGAACCCCTGTGAGATGGTTGACGTCGAGAGGGAGAGCCATCCCATTCACAAAAGATCGTGCAAGAAAGCTCCCGTTGTCCCGATTCTTCTTTCCTCTTTTCTTTTCCACGTAGCCGGGTTACCTTCGTTCCCTGCTCCTCCAACCCCCTAAGAGCTTCTTATTCAGGGTCGTACGCCGCGTTTTCGCGGTTTACGTATCCGATAATAACCCCCGGCTCTCAATGCCTCCCTTTTCTCCTCCGCTGCAATTATCCTCCTTATCTATCCTACCGGCTGAACCTTCGGATGCAATTTCTCCAAGATAAGACCTTACGGATAACGAGGCGAGAATGGGATTTAATTATCCCTCGGCGAAGAACAGCGAAGCCTCGTTGATGGTTTAATTCTTTAATTTTTGATATAATTTAATACAATCTTTCCGATTATGGTTAATTTACTAGACATTCGTTTGGCTCACGTGCCACCAAAGATAGACAATCTACAATGATGAAAGATGTACCATGAATCGAAGACCACTGTGCGACCATACGAGAAATACAAGGTATAATAAAAAGGTCATTATGTTAATTAAATTTAATTAATAAATTATAAAAATATTTTTCACACAGGAAAGTACCATTTTGACTGATTAATACAATTTGGTATAGTTCACGTACTA